GCAGACACACATCATATACAAATATTTTTATTTTAAAATGATGACAGTTAAAGCTTTAAAAAAGATAGCACTCTGCTGCAGGATATGAACTCTTATTAAAGTTATTGCAGTAGTAAATGTGTGTTAAAGTAAATCCCAACAGTTCGAGGTGGCTTGCTCTAATCAGATACATATTTATCATTATTCATTTCTATCCCTAAAGGACAGATTACAGACAAACAATTAAATAGTAAGAATTTAAAAAAAAGTTACTGCCCTAACAGTTACATTGTCTGCTTCCAAAACTGCCGAGTTACATTTCACAACTATTGTTTATGTATTAGTTGTAGTCTCTGTTTAATATCAATGACAATTGATAACAATGAGCAATTGTTTGAATGACTGTATAGTCTTATTTTTTCAATTTTACTACAAAGTATACTAAAACAAATAACTAACTACTGTTACGACTACTAGCACTACTAACTACTATAACGAAAGCACAATTTTCTCTCTTGTTTTTCAAACAAAGCATGTCCTTGGATAAATTTTCATTTTCAATTTGCACGACAAATTGATTATTTTCATTGGCTTATATTTCTATATAAATTTTCTCTACTAAATTTGTATTAGAATGAATATATTCCGCCTGTTATTTTTTTTCATACATATATACACATAGTATTTTTACAAGTTATTTTTATTTTTTCAATTATTTGCAAGACTGGTTGTTTGTTTAGAGACAGAGAGCGAGTGTAGAAAGAAATTAAAATAATAATTTATAAAAATAAAATCTATGACATATGGGGGAAACATGGGTAATCAATGTAGAAAATTGGTTATTTAAATCAATTTCAGTTTTTAACGTTTAATTGAATTTCGCAAAAATATAGGTCAGTATTTTCAAAATGAAATTAAATGAAAATAAAAAACCGAAATTATTTATTTTAAATATTGATATCAGTAACTCGTGCCTTTAAATTATATGTTTAAGTAATAATTTTTCTTTTTTTTAAATTTTCTTTAAAAATTACAAAATTTTTACATTATGTCATGCCAGACATAATATATATTTGTCATTATCTTTATTGTCTCACAACAAAAAGTCTGCGTATGATTAATATTGAAAACGTATGATTAATATTAATTAATGATTGTGTTATCATATTCTCTAATAACTTTCATATGAAATATGATAAATTATTTATAAAAACTGTATTTGTAAGATGAGATTTTCTGTCATAATATGTAATTTTAACGAAATGTGTAGACTAATTGAAAAGCACTTAAAGTTGGAAACATGGCAAATTTTCAAGAATTCCATTAGAACTGAACTAGAACTGAACTAGAACTGAACTAGAACTGAACTAGAACTGAACTAGAACTGAACTAGAACTGAACTAGAACTGCACTAGAACTGAACTAGAACTGAACTAGAACTGAACTAGAACTGAACTAGAACTGAACTAGAACTGAACTAGAACTGAACTAGAACTGAACTAGAACTGAACTAGAACTGAACTAGAACTGAACTAGAACTGAACTAGAACTGAACTAGAACTGAACTAGAAACTGAACTAGAACTGAACTAGAACTGAACTAGAACTGAACTAGAACTGAACTAGAACTGAACTAGAACTGAACTAGAACTGAACTAGAACTGAACTAGAACTGAACTAGAACTGAACTAGAACTGAACTAGAACTGAACTAGAACTGAACTAGAACTGAACTAGAACTGAACTAGAACTGAACTAGAACTGAACTAGAACTGAACTAGAACTGAACTAGAACTGAACTAGAACTGAACTAGAACTGAACTAGAACTGAACTAGAACTGAACTAGAACTGAACTAGAACTGAACTAGAACTGAACTAGAACTGAACTAGAACTGAACTAGAACTGAACTAGAACTGAACTAGAACTGAACTAGAACTGAACTAGAACTGAACTAGAACTGAACTAGAACTGAACTAGAACTGAACTAGAACTGAACTAGAACTGAACTAGAACTGAACTAGAACTGAACTAGAACTGAACTAGAACTGAACTAGAACTGAACTAGAACTGAACTAGAACTGAACTAGAACTGAACTAGAACTGAACTAGAACTGAACTAGAACTGAACTAGAACTGAACTAGAACTGAACTAGAACTGAACTAGAACTGAACTAGAACTGAACTAGAACTGAACTAGAACTGAACTAGAACTGAACTAGAACTGAACTAGAACTGAACTAGAACTGAACTAGAACTGAACTAGAACTGAACTAGAACTGAACTAGAACTGAACTAGAACTGAACTAGAACTGAACTAGAACTGAACTAGAACTGAACTAGAACTGAACTAGAACTGAACTAGAACTGAACTAGAACTGAACTAGAACTGAACTAGAACTGAACTAGAACTGAACTAGAACTGAACTAGAACTGAACTAGAACTGAACTAGAACTGAACTAGAACTGAACTAGAACTGAACTAGAACTGAACTAAAACTGAACTAGAACTGAACTAGAACTGAACTAGAACTGAACTAGAACTGAACTAGAACTGAACTAGAACTGAACTAGAACTGAACTAGAACTGAACTAGAACTGAACTAGAACTGAACTAGAACTGAACTAGAACTGAACTAGAACTGAACTAGAACTGAACTAGAACTGAACTAGAACTGAACTAGAACTGAACTAGAACTGAACTAGAACTGACTAGAACTGAACTAGAACTGAACTAGAACTGAACTAGAACTGAACTAGAACTGAACTAGAACTGAACTAGAACTGAACTAGAACTGAACTAGAACTGAACTAGAACTGAACTAGAACTGAACTAGAACTGAACTAGAACTGAACTAGAACTGAACTAGAACTGAACTAGAACTGACAGAACTACTAGAACTGAACTAGAACTGAACTAGAACTGAACTAGAACTGAACTAGAACTGAACTAGAAACTGAACTAAACTGAACTAGAACTGAACTAGAACTGAACTAGAACTGAACTAGAACTGACTAGACTGAACTAGAACTGAACTAGAACTGAACTAGAACTGAACTAGAACTGAACTAGAACTGAACTAGAACTGAACTAGAACTGAACTAGGACTGAACTAGAACTGAACTAGAACTGAACTAGAACTGAACTAGAACTGAACTAGAACTGAACTAGAACTGAACGAACTGAACTAGAACTGAACTAGAACTGAACTAGAACTGAACTAGAACTGAACTAGAACTGAACTAGAACTGAACTAGAACTGAACTAGAACTGAACTAGAACTGAACTAGAACTGAACTAGAACTGAACTAGAACTGAACTAGAACTGAACTAGAACTGAACTAGAACTGAACTAGAACTGAACTAGAACTGAACTAGAACTGAACTAGAACTGAACTAGAACTGAACTAGAACTGAACTAGAACTGAACTAGAACTGAACTAGAACTGAACTAGAACTGAACTAGAACTGAACTAGAACTGAACTAGAACTGAACTAGAACTGAACTAGAACTGAACTAGAACTGAACTAGAACTGAACTAGAACTGAACTAGAACTGAACTAGAACTGAACTAGAACTGAACTAAAGAACTAGAACTGAACTAGAACTGAACTAGGACTGAACTAGAATACTGAACTAGAACTGAACTAGAACTGAACTAGAACTGAAATATGAACTGAACCTAGAACTGAACTAGAACTGACTAGAACTGAACTAGAACTGAACTAGGAAATGAACTAGGAACTGAATAGAACTGAACTAGAATGAATAGGACTGAACTAGAACTGAACTAGAAACGGAACTAGAGCTTATAAATAGATTACTGAGTCGCTCTAAGAACAGTGACCATGGATTAGTCCTATGAAATAGTCCAAAAGCAAATCTAAGCTCTGGTCTATGAGCTAATCTAACCGGACTAGTCCTATGACGGTACTAAATGGTAAGACTAAGGATTCATCTATAATAAAAATCAATATAATTTGAGATTTCCATAACATTGCAATTTCCTTGTAAAATTAATCTACCAGAAATACTGCGAAAAAATAAATGAAACGAATTTAAACCCATTTTTGTGTTTCTTTCATCACACATATTAATTAAAAGTCCTTACGAAGAAGTGGAAGAAGAAAAGTAAAAACTAACTACATTTGTTTTTTATAACCGTCAACAGCGTTTAACCAAATTTAAAAGTTTCTTATGAATTTTACATTTCCTAATGATTTGAATTTAATATCTAACAACTAAGAAAATATTATGGCCAAGTACTGCAAAAACAAAATTAAATGGATTAAAGTAAACGAAAAACACGAGAAAGTTTTGATTTTGTTCGTTAAGCACACAATCTGCCTTAACACAATTTTCTGTGAAGAATAAGAAATTATTCGGAAAAACTCTGCTTAAATAATAAAGCGCCAAAGAAATAACAAGAACGAAAATAATATTGAAAAAGAAGGAAAGTTTTCTGCTTTAACGAATTATTTGTTTTAAAACAATTTTGTCGCAATGCTTGGCTTGGCTACAATATACGACTGTTGTGTTAGTTGTGGAGTTGGCTACTAGAGGAAAAAATGCATTTTTTTGAAGGAAAAACTTGAAAAAATATTTGCATAATACCAATTCACGATTTTGTTTTTTTTTTTTCTCTCTCTAAAAGTTATGTTTACACAAGCAATAGACCAAAATAACTGGAAGAAAAAATTTTAAACTTATGTATACTAAGCATCCTTCCTTCGAACCTTTAGTCTAAAAAATAAAGTTATAAGTAGCCACCCAAATGTAAAAGGCCATCTACAAATAACCAAATACTTAAGCTGTTTAACCAAAAAACTCTTTTTGCTAAAAACAACATTAATGTGTCATCAAAAAATAAATCAGTGAGAAAAAAAGTTCAGCAAGGATTTTTTTCTTTTATGCATTTTGTCTTGTGTCTTTAGAATTATGCACATTTAAATTGTCTTAAGGATTTACTTAATATTTATTGTTTTCTACACTTGAAAGTTTTTTTTTTTTGTACTAACTAACCTGAATTGGGTTGTCCATTGCTGTTGGGTCTGGCCGATGGTGCTCCATCTCTTGCTTCTACTTCCAATGCATAGGCGCCTTTCTTCTCTCTATCGAAGACGGTTTTTGTAAAGATTTCACCACTTTGCAAATTGATTTCGAAGAATTCTTTGCCCTCATTACGCGGTGAATCGACAATGTAGTAGTAAACCTGTAAATAAGTTTAAATGACAGAAATATTATTAGTTAAAAGTTTGCAGTTTTTAAATGTCGAGAATGTTTGTGATGATGAAAGAAAAAAGTAGAGAAAGTATTGGAACAAAATAATCAAAACTAAATTTTTAGGGAATATTTTGGATTTCATTTCTTTTTCTTAAAAGGTACTTTTTAATATTAAAAGTACTAAATTATTTTTTGACATTTTGTTAATAGACAAGACTATTAACTGGGGTTAACTGAACCACAGACTTTTCTATTCGATGAGTCCATTGTCTAGTCCAGGGACTAGCATATTGACTAGTCTACAGACCAGCTTATTGACTGGGCTACAAATTATTCCACAGACTACTCAATAGACTAGTGTTTTAGTCCACAGACTGGACTAATAACTAAGGAATTAACTGGACTACATAATATTGACTAGTCTATTGATTAATCTAATGATTAGTTCTCAGACCAGTCTGTTGACTAATCTATTAATAAGTCCTTAGACTAGACTATTGACTACTTCATAGAGTTTTTTATTGACTAGATCACAGAAAAGTCCTTATACTAAAGTTTTGACTAGTCCATAGAATAGTTTATTGACTAGAACACAGACTAGTCCACAAAATGCACTATTGTCTAGCCCACTGACTTGACTAGAACTAATCTGTTAACTAGACTACTACTATTGACTAGTCTATTGATTAGTCCTTAGACTAGACTATTGGCTTTTCCTCAGAATTGTCTATTGACTAGACCACAGACAAGTCCTTATACTAAACTATTGACTAATCCACAGATTAGCCTAATGGCTAGACAACATACTAGTCTATTGAGAAGTCTACAGAATAGTCTATTGACTATTCTTAGCAAAGTCAAAGCCACTTCATTTCCTTGTCTATTGACTGTGTAGTCCGTGTACCGAATTGTCTTTCTCTGATGTGCTAGTCAATAGTTTAATATAAGGACTTGTCTGTGGTCTGGGCTACTCTGTAGAAAAGTCAATAGTCTAGTCTAAGGACTAATCAATAGACTAGTCAATAGTAGTAGTCCAGTTAATAGCTTAGTTCTAGTCAAGTCAGTGTGCTAGTCAATAGTTCATTTTGTGGACTGGTCTGTGTTCTAGTCAATAAACTACTCTGTGGACTAGTCAAAGGTTTAGTATAAGGACTTTACTGTGATCTAGTCAATACAATACTCTATGGAGTAGTCAATAGTCTAGTCTAAGGCCTGGTTAATAGATTACTCAACAGACTTGTCTGAGAACTAATCATTAGATTAATCAAAAGACTAGTCAATATTATGTAGTCCAGTTAGTTCCTTAGTTATTAGTACAGTCTGTGGACTAAAACACTAGTCAATTGAGTTGTCTGTGGAATAATTTGTAGCCCAGTCAATAGACTAGTCAATTGACTAGTCTCTGTGACAATGTGAGCTTCCCTAAATGTGATAAAAGTGAGGTCCTAAGAGTGCTAATTAAACGCAGTTATTGGACGAGAGTAATAAATAAGCTACGCAACAGCGTTTATTGGCTTTTTCAAACACGTAAATGTAAAAACAAGACAGCTCATTAAAGAGATTCCAATTCAATGAGTCAAATAAGGAATCAATGAGTTAAATAAGCCCTTTAAGCGGTTTTATTTGTCATTCACACATGAGTAAGCTTACGTACTTGTAAAAAGTTTTTTGGACATCGATAAAAAATAACAAATTAGCTCTCTGACTTGTTTTGAGTTTTATAAATATTTTAGCTAAAACAGGCAACGGCATAGTGTGAGAGATAATGAGCTCTTTGAGTGCTTTTGCTTTTTTGCCACACATATGTGAGTTTGAGAATGTAGCTTATAAGTGAGCGTTAAATAAGCCCTGTGAGCGGTTTGATTTGTCATTCACACATGAGTAAGCTTACGTACTTGTAAAAAGTTTATCAGACATCGATAAAAAGTAACAAATTAGCTCACTGACCTATTTTGAGTTTTACGAATATTTTAGCTAAGACAGGCATCGGCAGAAAGTGATAGACAATGTGCTCTTTGAGTGCTTTTGTTTTTACACATATGTGAGTTTAAATAATACTGAAATATAGATAACAATATAGCCTATAAGAGAGAGCTTTTTGTCTACACCTGACTTGAAATAAAATGAGTAAGAGTGCCCTTTGCCTATATCTAATCTAAACAAACTCATGTAAATATCATATATTTGTAAAAATTTCAAAGAAAATTCATTTTAGCTATAAAAAGTCTTATTTTGCTTCTTTTTATATATAAACCCTTGACTAAGTTTTCTTCAAGAGAATAACAAGATAAGTGTAATTGTGATAATTAGAAAAAACGCCAAAAGCCTGAAAGAACTAAAACCTAACAAAAGCATAATGCTGGTCATACTGAAGTATTATTGGGCATTAAGATAGGGAATGTTTTCTTATTCAAACAAAAAAAGTGAAAAACAAATGACGACAACTTAAGTCTTATTATATAAATAAATGAAATTAAAATAGTGTGCATAAGAAAAATAAGCCCTCAAACATATAAATAGAAAACTAATTAGCACTATTATTATAAAAAGAAATTCAAATGAAATTGAAAAAAAGGATAGAGAATTTAAGTTAGAATTTCTTCACAAGGATTTTATAAAATTTTTTTTATTTTTTAAAGAAATATATACAAACAATTCTACACTGTTTCTAGTAGACAAATACTTATGAAAAGACATTGTCTAACCAAATATATACAATTTCCATCCTTGCAACAGTTTCAATTATTTTATTTAGTATTAAACAAAATTTAAACTAAACAACTTTTCTTTAATAAAAGAATAAGCTTCAATAATCTTACCCAACAAACATTTGGAGTACAATTAAAAATTTTGAACATTACAATGTCTTTAAACTTTCATTAAGAGATTACTTTTCATTTTTTAATTTTCTTCAATTTTCTCTTTTCAAACATGAAATTGTTCATTGGGTTATGTTAAGATTTCACAAACAAACCTAAAAATTAATAATTAGTATTGTGTTAAAAGCATCTCTCTTACTCTTCGGTATATCTATCTGTGCTCCAAAAAAAGCCATCATAAACAAACAGAACAAAAAACTGTTCAAATTATGCTAAATCAGCGAAAATAAGAAAATCTTTACTACTACTTTTTACCTTAAACACCAGCAAATAAATATTTGACGACGCCAGCGGAGCTTATCAACTTAAATTACACATGGCTGAGTTTCAAAAACAAAATTATAATTTTTTAAGCAAATACTTTTTAAGAAAAAAAAAACTGTGAAATATTAAAAGGTGTTGCTCCTTATAAAGGATTATGAATTTGTTTTTGTGAACAAAATAATAATACGTTTTAGAAGCATTCCTAAAGCTTATGCAGTATATATGATTCTTTTGAAGGCACTTACCTGATTATTTGGAAAAGTGCCATCCTTATCGATAGCATTCACTTGTGTTACTTTTGTGCCAATTGGTTCACCTTCTAATACCGTTTCCTGTTCACGTTCAGTGAATAAAGGAATTTCATCGTTAACATCTTCCAGCATTATATATACCGTTGCTTCAGACGCCAATTGTTGTGCCCCATTATTCTGGAAATAGAAATTAGAAGAAATTATTTAAAAAGGCGTATTAACAATAAATAAATTTAAATTTATAGAGAATATACATAATAGTAATAAGAGAAAGAATCTAAGTCGTGATAGCAGCATAATTAAGACAGTATTAAAAATTACCTTGATCAATCTAATCGTTAATAATATGCGTGTGAAATTTTTTATTAAAATGTTAACTTTTAAAATAATTTGTTTGGTTGACCTTCTAATTAAATAAATACTTCAGATCACCCAAATCTTTCAGTTCTAGTTCAGTTCTAATTCTAGTTCAGTTCTAGTTCAGTCCTAGTTAAGTTTTAGTTCAGTTCTAGTTCAGTTCTAGTTCAGTTCTAGTTCAGTTCTAGTTCAGTTCTAGTTCAGTTCTAGTTCAGTTCTAGTTCAGTTCTAGTTCAGTTCTAGTTCAGTTCTAGTTCAGTTCTAGTTCAGTTCTAGTTCAGTTCTAGTTCAGTTCTAGTTCAGTTCTAGTTCAGTTCTAGTTCAGTTCTAGTTCAGTTCTAGTTCAGTTCTAGTTCAGTTCTAGTTCAGTTCTAGTTCAGTTCTAGTTCAGTTCTAGTTCAGTTCTAGTTCAGTTCCAGTTGAGTTGTAGTTCAGTTCTAGTTCAGTTCTAGTTCAGTTCTAGTTCAGTTCTAGTTCAGTTCTAGTTCAGTTCTAGTTCAGTTCTAGTTCAGTTCTAGTTCAGTTCTAGTTCAGTTCTAGTTCAGTTCTAGTTCAGTTCTAGTTCAGTTCTAGTTCAGTTCTAGTTCAGTTCTAGTTCAGTTCTAGTACAGTTCTAGTTCAGTTCTAGTTCAGTTCTAGTTCAGTTCTAGTTCAGTTCTAGTTCAGTTCCAGTTGAGTTGTAGTTCAGTTCTAGTTCAGTTCTAGTTCAGTTCTAGTTCAGTTCTAGTTCAGTTCTAGTTCAGTTCTAGTTCAGTTCTAGTTCAGTTCTAGTTCAGTTCTAGTTCAGTTCTAGTTCAGTTCTAGTTCAGTTCTAGTTCAGTTCTAGTTCAGTTCTAGTTCAGTTCTAGTTCAGTTCTAGTTCAGTTCTAGTTCAGTTCTAGTTCAGTTCTAGTTCAGTTCGTTCAGTTCTAGTTCAGTTCTAGTTCAGTTCTAGTTCAGTTCCAGTTGAGTTGTAGTTCAGTTCTAGTTCAGTTCAGTTCTAGTTCAATTCTAGTTCAGTTCTAGTTCAGTTCTAGTTCAGTTCTAGTTCAGTTCTAGTTCAGTTCTAGTTCAGTTCTAGTTCAGTTCTAGTTCAGTTCTAGTTCAGTTCTAGTTCAGTTCTAGTTCAGTTCTAGTTCAGTTCTAGTTCAGTTCTAGTTCAGTCTAGTTCAGTCTAGTTCAGTTCTAGTTCAGTTCTAGTTCAGTTCTAGTTCAGTTCTAGTTCAGTTCTAGTTCAGTTCTAGTTCAGTTCTAGTTCAGTTCTAGTTCAGTTCTAGTTCAGTTCTAGTTCAGTTCTAGTTCAGTTCTAGTTCAGTTCTAGTTCAGTTCTAGTTCAGTTCTAGTTCAGTTCTAGTTCAGTTCTAGTTCAGTTCTAGTTCAGTTCTAGTCAGTTCTAGTTCAGTTCTAGTTCAGTTCTAGTTCAGTTCTAGTTCAGTTCTAGTTCAGTTCTAGTTCAGTTCTAGTTCAGTTCTAGTTCAGTTCTAGTTCAGTTCTAGTTCAGTTCTAGTTCAGTTCTAGTTCAGTTCTAGTTCAGTTCTAGTTCAGTTCTAGTTCAGTAGTTCAGTTCTAGTTCAGTTCTAGTTCAGTTCTAGTTCAGTTCTAGTTCAGTTCTAGTTCAGTTCTAGTTCAGTTCTAGTTCAGTTCTAGTTCAGTTAGTCAGTTCTAGTTCAGTTCTAGTTCAGTTCTAGTTCAGTTTCTAGTTCAGTTCTAGTTCAAGTTCTAGTTCAGTTCTAGTTCAGTTCTCGTTCAGTTCTAGTTCAGTTCTAAGTTCAGTTCTAGTTCCGTTCTAGTTCAGTTTCTAGTTCAGTTCTAGTTCAGTTCTAGTTCCCCGTTCTAGTTCAGTTCTAGTTCAGTTCTAGTTCAGTTCTAGTTCAGTTCTAGTTCAGTTCTAGTTCAGTTCTAGTTCAGTTCTAGTTCAGTTCTAGTTCAGTTCTAGTTCAGTTTAGTTTCAGTTCTAGTTCAGTTTGTCAGTTCCTAGTTCAGTTAGGTTCAGTTCTCAGTCAGTTTCTAGTTCAGTTCTAGTTTCAGTTCTAGTTCAGTTCTAGTTCATTATAGTTCTTCTAGTTCAGTTCTAGTTCCAGTTCTAGTTCAGTTCTAGTTCAGTTCTAGTTCAGTTCTAGTTCAGTTCTAGTTCAGTTCTAGTTCAGTTCTATTCAGTTCTTAGGTTCTAGTTAGTTCCTCGTTCAGTTCTAGTTCAGTTCTAGTCAGTTCTAGTTCAGTTCTAGTTCCAGTTCTAGTTCTCGTTCAGTTCAGTTCTAGTTCAGTTCTAGTTCAGTTCTAGTTCAGTTCTAGTTCAGTTCTAGTTCGTTCTAGTTCAGTTTAGTTCAGTTCTAGTTCAGTTCTAGTTCAGTTCTAGTTCAGTTCTAGTTCAGTTCTAGTTCAGTTGTAGTTCAGTTCTAGTTCAGTTCTAGTTCAGTTCTAGTTCAGTTCTAGTTCAGTTCTAGTTCAGTTCTAGTTCAGTTCTAGTTCAGTTCTAGTTCAGTTCTAGTTCAGTTCTAGTTCAGTTCTAGTTCAGTTCTAGTTCAGTTCTAGTTCAGTTCTAGTTCAGTTCTAGTTCAGTTCTAGTTCAGTTCTAGTTCAGTTCTAGTTCAGTTCTAGTTCAGTTCTAGTTCAGTTCTAGTTCAGTTCTAGTTCAGTTCTAGTTCAGTTCTAGTTCAGTTCTATTTCAGTTCTAGTTCAGTTCTAGTTCAGTCAGTTCAGTTCTAGTTCAGTTCTAGTTCAGTTCTAGTTCAGTTCTAGTTCAGTTCTAGTTCTAGTTCAGTTTAGTTCAGTTCTAGTTCAGTTCTAGTTCAGTTCTAGTTCAGTCTAGTTCAGTTCTAGTTTCAGTTCTAGTTCAGTTTCTAGTTCATTCTAGTTCAGTCTAGTTCAGTTTCCTAGTTCAGTTCTAGTTCAGTTCTAGTTCAGTTCTAGTTCAGTTCTAGTTCAGTTCTAGTTCAGTTCTAGTTCAGTTCTAGTCAGTTCTAGTTCAGTTCTAGTTCAGTTCTAGTTCAGTTCTAGTTCAGTTCTAGTTCAGTTCTAGTTCAGTTCTAGTTCAGTTCTAGTTCAGTTCTAGTTCAGTTCTAGTTCAGTTATAGTTCAGTTCAGTTCAGTTCTAGTTTACTTGTTTTGTTTGAGGAATGTTTAAAGCCACACTGGTATAGGTTAAGTTATTTAATCGCTCTGATATTTTGTATAACAAGTTCTTACAATATTGGAAGCAGTGCAAAGGAAATGATGACCATTGAAACGATTTTCGTCCAACATTATTTTAGAACCTATATGTAAGTATGGTGAAGCACTTAACCAATAAATTTCCAACGGATGTTATATAAAAATTCCAACATTTTTATAGTTTTTGTTTATTCCTCAACAAAACAGAATATAAAACTTGTAAAAATTAAAAATACGAAACATGTTGTTGTTAAACAACGGAATACAAAAATATAAAACTAAATATATTTACAAAAACTGGATGTATTTTACCTTCAACAAACTCGGCATTTAATATTTCGAACCATATGGAAATTCATCAAAAAATTCCATTAAAATGTTTATGAAATGTTATATTTTTACAAATATTTATAAAATAACCAAGAGAATATATTAAACGTTTAGCGTGAATGCTGTGGCCGTTAACGGAAAACGGATATAGTTAGCAGAAAAAAATTGTTATTTATTTTTTTCATACATATTTTTTTTATGTAAATTTAACACTAAAATAATAAACAAACAAATTGTTTCATATTAAATATATATGAATATTAAATGAAATTATAATGTTTTTATTATATAATTCTCTTTTGTTTTTTATCCTTTTACCAGACTGATTAATAATTTTTTAAACTGTAATTATTTATTGATTTCTTAATAAAGCTTTTGTGTAAAAAGCATGTGTTAAACAAATTATTAATGAATATATTTAAGGTTTATTATTATTAAAATAATAATAAAACATGCATCTTTTTTTATTAAACATTATACATATTGTAATTGTTTTTTATTTACAAACTCTATTTGTTCGCATAAATTAATTTAATAAACAAAGCTTTTTTGTTACATAAAAATTAAATATTATTTTAACCATAGGTATTTTTGAACAATTAATAAAATGTTATGGCTTTGTGTTTTTGTTAATAAGTACATAAACAAATTATTGGGAGAAAAACAATTAATGGACTGGAGTGAATTAGTTCAATGGCATTTTTCTGAATTCAGAAAATTTTCAAAGTTGATTGAATGTTATTTTTATTACCTATCAACAAAAATCGATCATCTTAATCTCTTACATCTCCCCTTTAATTGTATACTATAATAAAAATGTATGAATCAAACTGCTTAAATTTAAATTTTACTTAAAATTTTATTAAAGCATATTCCTTAAATAAAAATCAATATATTAAATTAAATTTTTTAATCTTTTTAAAGAAATTAAAATAATGCCGACATAAACACACACCCCATTGAAATTTAAATTAGTATTTAGTTGCTAAAAAAAATAAATCTGCCAATAAAATGGTAATTTATTGTTTTTTTTTTTTTTTATTGGAAGAAAAAAAAAACAAATTAAAATTAAATCCTAATATAAGTTCTTTGACATATTGTAGGAAAAAATAGCAAACTTAATGGAAAGCTGTGGGGTAGAAAAAAGTCTGAATACTGAAAAACATATATATTAAATATATAAACTATCCACATGCAAAAAAAAGCTGTAAATTTAATGAATAGGAAAACGGAAATAAAATCATAGATTGATTAATGGAAATTTCTTATAAAATTAATTGAAAATTTAATGTATATAAGTTAAGTGAAGTTTTTCTTCATGAAACTGACTAGAACTGAACTAGAACTGAACTAGAACTGAACTAGAACTGAACTAGAACTGAACTAGAACTGAACTAGAACTGAACTAGAACTGAACTAGAACTGAACTAGAACTGAACTAGAACTGAACTAGAACTGAACTAGAACTGAACTAGAACTGAACTAGAACTGAACTAGAACTGAACTAGAACTGAACTAGAACTGAACTAGAACTGAACTAGAACTGAACTAGAACTGAACTAGAACTGAACTAGAACTGAACTAGAACTGAACTAGAACTGAACTAGAACTGAACTAGAACTGAACTAGAACTGAACTAGAACTGAACTAGAACTGAACTAGAACTGAACTAGAACTGAACTAGAACTGAACTAGAACTGAACTAGAACTGAACTAGAACTGAACTAGAACTGAACTAGAACTGAACTAGAACTGAACTAGAACCGAACTAGAACTGAACTAGAACTGAACTAGAACTGAACTAGAACTGAACTAGAACTGAACTAGAACTGAACTAGAACTGAACTAGAACTGAACTAGAACTGAACTAGAACTGAACTAGAACTGAACTAGAACTGAACTAGAACTGAACTAGAACTGAACTAGAACTGAACTAGAACTGAACTAGAACTGAACTAGAACTGAACTAGAACTGAACTAGAACTGAACTAGAACTGAACTAGAACTGAACTAGAACTGAACTAGAACTGAACTAGAACTGAACTAGAACTGAACTAGAACTGAACTAGAACTGAACTAGAACTGAACTAGAACTGAACTAGAACTAGAACGGAACTAAAACTGAACTAGAACTGAACTAGAACTGAACTAGAACTGAACTAGAACTGAACTAGAACTGAACTAGAACTGAACTAGAACTGAACTAGAACTGAACTAGAACTGAACTAGAACTGAACTAGAACTGAACTAGAACTGAACTAGAACTGAACTAGAACTGAACTAGAACTGAACTAGAACTGAACTAGAACTGAACTAGAACGAACTGAACTAGAACTGAACTAAACTGAACTAGAACTGAACTAAACTGAACTAGAACTGAACTAGAACTGAACTAGAACTGAACTAGAACTGAACTAGAACTGAACTAGAACTGAACTAGAACTGAACTAGAACTGAACTAGAACTGAACTAGAACTGAACTAGAACTGAACTAGAACTGAACTAGAACTGAACTAGAACTGAACTAGAACTGAACTAGAACTGAACTAGAACTGAACTAGAACTGAACTAGAACTGAACTAGAACTGAACTAGAACTGAACTAGAACTGAACTAGAACTGAACTAAAACTGAACTAGAACTGAACTAGAACTGAACTAGAACTGAACTAGAACTGAACTAGAACTGAACTAGAACTGAACTAGAACTGAACTAGAACTGAACTGAACTAGAACTGAACTAGAACTGAACTAGAACTGAACTAGAACTGAACTAGAACTGAACTAGAACTGAACTAGAACTGAACTAGAACTGAACTAGAACTGAACTAGAACTGAACTAGAACTGAACTAGAACTGAACTAGAACTGAACTAGAACTGAACTAGAACTGAACTAGAACTGAACTAGAACTGAACTAGAAACTGAACTAGAACTGAACTAGAACTGAACTAGAACTGAACTAGAACTGAACTAGAACTGAACTAGAACTGAACTAGAACTGAACTAGAACTGAACTAGAACTGAACTAGAACTGAACTAGAACTGAACTAGAACTGAACTAGAACTGAACTAGAACTGAACTAGAACTGAACTAGAACTGAACTAGAACTGAACTAGAACTGAACTAGAACTGAACTAGAACTGAACTAGAACTGAACTAGAACTGAACTAGAACTGAACTAGAACTGAACTAGAACTGAACTAGAACTGAACTAGAACTGAACTAGAACTGAACTAGAACTGAACTAGAACTGAACTAGAACTGAACTAGAACTGAACTAGAACTGAACTAGAACTGAACTAGAACTGAACTAGAACTGAAACTAGAACTGAACTAGAACTGAACTAGAACTGAACTAGAACTGAACTAGAACTGAACTAGAACTGAACTAGAACTGAACTAGAACTGAACTAGAACTGAACTAGAACTGAACTAGAACTGAACTAGAACTGAACTAGAACTGAACTAGAACTGAACTAGAACTGAACTAGAACTGAACTAGAACTGAACTAGAACTGAACTAGAACTGAACTAGAACTGAACTAGAACTGAACTAGAACTGAACTAGAACTGAACTAGAACTGAACTAGAACTGAACTAGAACTGAACTAGAACTGAACTAGAACTGAACTAGAACTGAACTAGAACTGAACTAGAACTGAACTAGAACTGAACTAGAACTGAACTAGAACTGAACTAGAACTGAACTAGAACTGAACTAGAACTGAACTAGAACTGAACTAGAACTGAACTAGAACTGAACTAGAACTGAACTAGAACTGAACTAGAACTGAACTAGAACTGAACTAGAACTGAACTAAAACTGAATGAAAACTGAACTGGGTTTAAGCTAGAACTGAACTAGATTTAAGCTAGAGCTGAACTAGATTTGAGGTAGAACTGAACTAGTTTTAAGCTAGAACTGAACTAGATTTAAGCTAGAACTGATCTAGATTTAAGCTAGAACTAAACTTGAAGTGATAATTTTAAAAATTGTTGTCTATTGACAACAATTTTTCGTGGGCTGGTCTATTTGATAGACAAAATATGAAGAATGTGTGTGTAATTGTATATAATATGCATAAAAACCACATATTAATTATAGGTAAACAGAAAATACAATACTCTTGTTAAACCAAGAAAAACCACACATCAAATTAAATAAAAATGTATATTATACATATTTTATATATGGAATTTTTCTAATAATGTGTGAGATTTTGTGCTAAATTGCATATAGAAGAGTTTTTTTTTAAATATATAAATTTATTTAAATGTATATGTATATATATAAGTAAATGTATAAAAACACCCCCATATTTGAACAAAAGACAGCAAGAGAAAAAAAAAAACAAAATAAATAATTCATTAGCTTCGATAACTTTTATGAATGTTTATGTAATAATTATGATTAAGGTAAGGACAGCAAATATAGTTTTATAAAATATATATTTGAATGGATGCAAATATAATAACAAATGATAGCCTAGCTAGAGGTTGGAGAGTTATGACTAAAAGTAGGCTATAGTTCATTTTAAACATACATATAAGTTTGTACTTTTTTATTATGAATGGAACTACTTAAAGTATTAAATTCCTTAAATTCATTATATTTGTCTATCTGCCTACAAGTATGCTGTATAAAATATATTTTAAAGAAAAAACAAACTTCACTTACCTCTACACGTATGGTCAAATTATATTCCTTTATACTTTCATAATCCAGCGGATGATTGACTTTTATATCGGCCCACGTATCACCATTATCCGGTCTTTGTTGTAGATAGAATGTATGAAATTTATTCGTTTGTGCCGTTGACCCAGGCATTATAAACGATAAAATACCGTTGGATTGCCCTCTATGCCCGAACTGATTTCAGCAGAATTTTATTTTGTGATGAATTTTCACAAAAAAAAGGAATTTCATATTAGTAAAGAGAATTTATTGTTTATAAAATAAAAATATTGTAGGGTATAGTATTTATTTAAATTTGGAAAAAGGATTATGTATAATAAAGTGGTAAATAAATTTGAAAATGAAGCAAAGTAAATATTTTACTTTTTACAATAATAATGATATTTTTCAATATCATTATTTTCATAATTTTTGCTTAAATTTGCTGCATTTTCTATTTAATTTTTCTTTAACCACAAAAAATCTTTAAAATATTACAAAAACTAAAACTAAACTAAAGTTTATTGAAAACATTATAAAATTAAGATCTTCAAAAGCAAAATCAACAAAATATTTTTCAAAATTTAATTAATTAAAATTAATAATAAATCAATATAAATTGAAATTTTTTTTAAACATAAAAAATTGTTACATTTTTTAATTTTTGATTTAAAAAAAGTTAATTTAAAATTGCACAACATGCGACATAAGCAAAATACAAAAAGACTGTTTTATGACGCCATGTTTTTAAAAAAAAATTAACAAAAACTTATTAATTAAAATAATTATTTTTTAAAAAAGGTGCTCGAAAATATATATATTTGTTTTGTGGGAGGAAAATAAGTATTTCAACAAAGTGCCAAAAAACATGTAGTTAAAAAAATTTGTTGAAAAAAAGAACACAAAACGAAATATCATGATTATTTTTTGCAGAAATTAAAATAATTGTTTTCATATTTAATTGATATAATTTATATACCAACAAAAATAAATAGGTTTTTGTGAAAAAAGGAACTGAAAAAAATTTCAACAAAAGGCTTCAAAAATCATTATAGCCTTTTGCCTGAATTGCAGGAGGTGTTTGGTAGTTGTAAAGATTTAAGGATCTAATTAAATTATTATTAAAACAATGGTTTTTATTTGCTACTAAAACAACAACATATGTTTTTAATTTCAAAAAAAAAAAAATATGTATAAAATACTGTTGTTTCAGTAGAAATAATTTGATATATTTGTTTTTGCTTGGAAAATTTTTTTTCAGGATTTTAAAGGAGTGATTTGGGTTTTTTGTTGCTGATGATTTTTTAAGGATTTTATTTAAAATTTAAGGGATTTAATGAATTTTATGTTTTTAATGACTTGTTTTGTATGATTTGAAATAGTGTGACAAATGGGTGGATTTCTGGTTGTTGGTTTTTTGTTCTAAAATTATATATTTATTTTAATACATATACAAATTTGCTGAAAAATTTTTTTTACTTAAATTACAATAGGTGTATTATGTTAAATAAATTCATTAAAACTAGACTTATATATAAAATGGAAAACTTTCTGCATTTTAGTTCAAAAAGTTTGAAAGCCTTAAACTGATTTGAAAAAATCTGGAAACAGCAGTAGAATTAAACTAAAACCGAACTGGAACAAGATCTAGAACAGAAGTAACCAGAACCAGAACAGAACCAGAACAGAACTAGAACAGAACTAGAACAGAACTAGAACAGAACTAGAACAGAACTAGAACTGAACTAGAACAGAACTAGAACAGAACTAGAACAGAACTAGAACAGAACTAGAACAGAACTAAAACAGAACTAAAACAGAACTAGAACAGAACTAGAACAGAACTAGAACAGGACTAGAACAGAACTAGAACAGAACTAGAACAGAACTAGAACAGAACTAGAACAGAACTAGAACAGAACTAGAACAGAACTAGAACAGAACTAGAACAGAACTAGAACAGAACTAGAACAGAACTAGAACAGAACTAGAACAGAACTAGAACAGAACTAGAACAGAACTAGAACAGAACTAGAACAGAACTAGAACAGAACTAGAACAGAACTAGATCAGAACTAGAACAGAACTAGAACAGAACTAGAACAGAACTAGAACAGAACTAGAACAGAACTAGAACAGAACTAGAACAGAACTAGAACAGAACTAGAACAGAACTAGAACAGAACTAGAACAGAACTAGAACAGAACTAGAACAGAACTAGAACAGAACTAGAACAGAACTAGAACAGAACTAGAACAGAACTAGAACAGAACTAGAACAGAACTAGAACAGAATTAGAACAGAATTAGAACAGAACTAGAACAGAACTAGAACAGAACTAGAACAGAACTAGAACAGAACTAGAAACAGAACTAGAACAGAACTAGAACAGAACTAGAACAGAACTAGAGCAGAACTAGAACAGAACTAGAACAGAACTAGAACAGAACTAGAACAGAACTAGAACAGAACTAGAACAGAACTAGAACAGAACTAGAACAGAACTAGAACAGAACTAGAACAGAACTAGAACAGAACTAGAACAGAACTAGAACAGAACTAGAACAGAACTAGAACAGAACTAGAACAGAACTAGAACAGAACTAGAACAGAACTAGAACAGAACTAGAACAGAACTAGAACAGAACTAGAACAGAACTAGAACAGAACTAGAACAGAACTAGAACAGAACTGGAACAGAACAGAACTAGAACAGAACTAGAACAGAACTAGAACAGAACTAGAACAGAACTAGAACAGAACTAGAGAACACAGAACTAGAACAGAACTAGAACAGAACTAGAACAGAACTAGAACAGAACTAGAACAGAACTAGAACAGAACTAGAACAGAACTAGAACAGAACTAGAACAGAACTAGAACAGAACTAGAACAGAACTAGAACAGAACTAGAACAGAACTAGAACAGAACTAGAACAGAACTAGAACAGAACTAGAACAGAACAAGAACAGAACTAGAACAGAACTAGAACAGAACTAGAACAGAACTAGAACAGAACTGGAACAGAACTAGAACAGAACTAGAACAGAACTTGAACAGAACTAGAACAGAACTAGAACAGAACTAGAACAGAACTAGAACAGAACTAGAACAGAACTAGAACAGAACAGAACTAGAACAGAACTAGAACAGAACTAGAACAGAACTAGAACAGAACTAGAACAGAACTAGAACAGAACTAGAACAGACTAGAACTAGAACAGAACTAGAACAGAACTAGAACAGAACTACGAACTACAGAACTAGAACAGAACTAGAACAGAAACTAGAACAGAACAGACAGAACTAGAACAGAACTAGAAGAACAGAACTAGAACAGAACTAGAACAGAACTAGAACAGAACTAGAACAGAACTAGAACAGAACTAGAACAGACAGACTAGAACAGACAACAGAACTAGAACAGAACTAGAACTAGAACAGAACTAGAACAGAACTAGAACAGAACTAGAACAGAACTAGAACAGAACTAGAACAGAACTAGAACAGAACTAGAACAGAACTAGAACAAATAGAACTACAGCAGAAACTGGTACTGAACTAGGATAGAACTAAATATGATTTTTCCAATCACAAAAAATTATTTTATATGAAAGTTTATCATTACATTGATCAGACGAGTTCGATTCGGGATTTTAACAGTTTGTAATCGAAATTTCCAAACACATATTAAATCACCCTAATGTGACACAAATTTCATATTCACCTCTTTTTTTCAAAGAAAAAATTTCTTTCATACTAAAATAACATTTTGTAATGCAGAAAATTTTCTTAAACAAAAATGCGAAAAAAAAGAATACATTTAAAATATCTTAAAGGGAAAAAACCACTATAAATACTTATATTACATTACATTACATTGTAAAAAGTCTTCTATACAATTTCTCACTAATGTTATGATGTTGCTATTATTCTTCTTTTCACATTTTTTGCTTCCTAATGTTTAAAACTGCTTCAGGTGTTGGTGATATAATTTTAAACTCATAAAGGAAGAAAAAATTGCAGGAATTCTCTACCACATGTGTTAATGGGTTTAAAATGAAAATACACTGAGACTATTATTAAAAGATAATTGTAGTTTTTAAGACTAAACACACGCCTGTTGGCCTTCATTTACCACATTATATGCTCAGTGTATTTTCAGTTGTCTATAAAGGAAACTAAAACTGTTATACTTAAACCTAAAAAAAGAAAAATTCCTTTTTTTTAATTTATAAACATTATAAGTATGCTTACATGTGTATGTGTAATAAAACAAAAATAGAAAGTGTTTTATTATTATTTATTTTTTATTATATGTTTGTTGTAGTCTTTTAACTAAGTGTTTGTATGAATTAAGAAAAAGTGTTAAATTATTTTCACTTATTATAGTTTTGTTTTATATACTTGGTTCTTGTAGTCATAAAATACTTAGCGATATAGAAAGCGTTCCTTGGTATGCTTAGTTATAATCTATCATTGCATTATAATTATATCTAATGACTAAGGTTTCCTGGTAGTTTCATTTATTTATTTTTTAATTTTTTGTTTTGCAAGATTAATGTTAAAGCTTTTAGATTTCATCTATCAAAAGGTGAAAGTTTTGGTTGTCTTTATATAGGAACTTAAATAAAAGTGGAACTAAAACATTAAGAACAATTGTTTATATTAAAGTGCAGTAGATAACAATAGCTTATTTGTTTAAAAATGTGCTTTTTGTCTATATCTAGTGCAGAGTGCAATAAAATGTAATTACGTATATCGGAACTAAACTACTTCCATATGATTTAAAATAGGTCGAAACGGATTAACAGATTTATATAACAGTTAAGAACTATAACAAAACTAGAACGGAAACTAGCGTTAGAATTAGAACTAGAACCAGAACAGAACTAGAACAGAACTAGAACAGAACTAGAACAGAACTAGAACAGAACTAGAACAGAACTAGAACAGAACTAGAACAGAACTAAAACAGAAATAGAATAGAACTACAAAGGAACCAGAAGAGAACAGAACTTGAACAGAACTAGAACAGAACTTGAACAGAACTAGAACAGAACTAGAACAGAACTAGAACAGAACTAGAACAGAACTACAACAGAACTAGAACAGAACTAGAACAAACAGAACTAGAACAGAACTAGAACAGAACTAGAACAACTAGAACAGACTAGAACAGAACTAGAACAG